CACTGGCACTCAAATAAGTTGAGGCTGAGGCGCTAGTAAACGGGCCCTGAGGACTAGAACTTATCTTAGAACTCCAAATTCCGAGCTCTTTCCTCCACACCAAGAAGCTTTTAAAGAAGGCGTGGAGGTGGAGTGAAAAATCTTTTCACAAGAGGAGGACCTGAGAAAGAGCCATCTGTGTGACCAGAGGGAGAAGGAGCCCTCTTCCGCGGGGCTGGGGAGACTTTTACTCCCTACGGCCACCAGGTGGCGAAGACTTCCCGAGGCTCGGAGGACAGCGGCGTCCGCAGTCGCGCAGAGGCCGACGAGACCTGCGCGGCCCAGGAGGCGCGGGGCCCTCCGCTGGGTACCGGCCTGGGCAGCGCGTGCTCAAACTCAAAATCGCACAAGTTACTCTGCGAGCCCTGCCGCCTCCACAAGGGCTTATGGATGGAGGTTTGGGGCTTTTTAAGAAGTCAAGAGAAAATTAGAGTAGGGGATGCTCTTTAGGGGGCACTTTGGGGGCCACGCTCAGAACTGCTCGGCCTGTCTTGCCTTCTGAGAGCTTGAGGTGCGTCCTCGGTGACACGCAGAGGATGGCTAAGGCAGGTGTGTGCGCGCGCGCGCGCGCGTGTGTGTGTGTGTGTGTGTGTGTGCTGGAGAAAAGAGAAATTTCGGTGGTCACCAAGGTCAGAGGCCCATCATTTTAGAAAGAGAAGGAAAGGAGAAGAGAAAAAGCAGAAAAGCTCTGTAACTAAAGCCTGCGCCCGAATCGCTCAGCCCTGAAGGGCTGGAGGAAAATCAGGGCGCGCGCAGGAAGCCCTGTGACCCCAGGCATGCTCTGGGCCTAGTCCTCGCCTGTGAGAGGAGGGACTCTGGCTCCGGCGGAGACGGGCGCAGGTGGATGGATTCCTGGGCCGGAGCCCAGCTGGACCCACAAGAAAATAACATATTTAAAAGTTTAAACTTCAGAGAGGGGGGCGAATAACATGGGGGGGTTCAGTCTGTGTCACAATACAGTTTTTTGCAAATTTGCATTTAAAAAGTTTCCTGGTGATTTCGAAATCTCCACGGAGTAAAAGCTAAACTTTTTTTGAGTCCATGAGGCGGGTGGGGGCCACAGTGGCAGAGCTGGGGAGGGTGGGGGACGCGGTGTTCAGGCGAGTAAACAAGGAATTATTTGGTTTCTTTTTTCTTTTCGTTATTGGCGCCTGAATGTGGATAAAAGTGCAGAGCATGTGAGTTTTCATTTCGGAACGTTTCCACGACGCCTGTCGATATTTTTTTTTTAAATGCCATTCTTTTCCCTCTGTCTTTGAGAAAGATCGAAGAGACTGCCTCTGCCCAGCTTTAAAGCCTAATCAAATGTAGCTGCAAAGGAGAGAAACTGAGACCAACAGCAGACTGGAGTAAACCGGTACCAAACCCCGGCCCAAGCACAGTCCGAAAATATGACAAACTAGTCTGCAGCTTCCTCTCCGGCCCAGGGATTTTATTTTTAACTTTTTAATTTTTAATTTTTTTCTGTTGCTTCCCGCCTTTCCTAGTTTTGCTTCCATGTCCTGGCGACTCCTCCCCCCTCCCCCAGGATAGCTAACCTACATCCTAGCAAATCTTGGCTATGCGACTTGAGGAA